TTAATAAGAAATAGTGTGTTACATGAAGTCGTCACAGTTTTTTATTCCTATTCAAAAGTACACAGAAATTAGTTAATAATGTGATACAGAAGTATACATTGCCAAAAAGAATTATATAAAAATGCCTAATCAACTTTCCCCAAATAGTTAGTTTCTAATGGGAGTCTCAAACCCATTTCATTGTAGGAAGAACACTGATCACTCTCTTTGCTGCTCTTCATAAAGAGATGTCTGGTATTTATAGAAGAAGTGTGAATGAATGGGCTTCATGTGAGCAGTCTAAAATAATATTAATTGATTCTTTTAACTCTGGGTACACTCTCAGAAAAAAAGGTACAAAAGCTGTCACTGGGGCAGTACCTTTTCAAAAGGTACACTTTTGTACCTTTTAGGTACTAATATGTACCTTTAAGGTACCAGTATGGACTGTTTAGGTACAAAGGTGTGCCTTTTGAAAAGGTACTGCCCCAGTGACAGATTTTGTACCTTTTATTCTGAGAGTGTACCCAGAGTTAAAAGAATCAATTAATATTATTTTAGACTGCTCACATGAAGCCCATTCATTCAAACTTCTTCTATAAATACCAGACATCTCTTTATGAAGAGCAGCAAAGAGAGTGACCAACCTGATCAACAACTATGGGAGATACCTTGAATGTATGGTCAGAATTTAATGGTCAGCTCTATTGTTAGAGTGTGAATTTTCTAGAAAGCAACTTTGCAGCCTACCTCTCTGTGGTGGTACCAGCAGGTGCCGGCAGTCATCAGCAATCAGAGAGATGAGTGGGAGGAGGTGAGTGTTATGAATTGTCTGTGGGTGTCTGATCCTGATCTTGTCTTGGTAGTAAGTAACCTTGGCAACAGAAAACCTGAAGGAGAAAGAGGAGAGGAGAGACTGATACTGGTTCAGATCAGCCATTTCCTCTCAAGAGCCCTTGAGCTTAGTCTGATGGTCACGTAGCGTTTCAGAGAGCCAGATGCTGGAGAGTGTTTCACATGTTGGCCTGGAGGTGAGAGGGCAGATATTATCTAGGCAGGATGTTAAAGTGGAGCACAGAGTGTAAGTATCATTAAAAATCAAGTTGTAATAATAAATTAAATAACAATTAATACATTAAATTAAAGTATCACACAGGAGGTTGGTTCTGTTAACGTAAATGATTAAAATTGAATTCAAAAATTAAATGGTAACATTTCTATACATTGTTTATTATATCTATGGGTATATTTATTAATTATATTTTATATTTATTATTGTTTATTTATAATTATTGTGTTATAATTTCTATTTTATATTACATAATATTTCTTATTTAATTTAGTTACATTTCTACATTGTTGTAGCAATGTAGCAAAATCAGTTTAAAAAATGAAATAAAAATGTATATACAGTACATGTACTATTTTGTGAATTAAGTGTTCTGTGATCAATAAATGGCTTATGTTTAAAGGAAGGTTTTTTTTGTCGGCATTGAAAATCCACTAGAGACAAACTATATACATTTTCCATATATCCAAACACAAGTAGCATTAGAATTGGGAGAATTAAATAATACATATGCATGCTGTTATTCATACAGATAACAGTTTCGGTTATTAATCAGTTGCTTTAGCATTGGCTGATTTAATCAACTCCAGGGGTTAAATAATAGATTAATCTATCAAAGTTCAACTGAAGACAGCTCAAAATTCCGTTTCATTTTGAGAACAAGTGATATGCCCAGGATCAAGTTGCCCTAGGTGATAAATAAATCCCTCTTTCTCTCTCCCTTTACTAGGACTGCCACCATATGTCATTCCAATATGGGACACACACAGCTGGTATCCCAAAATATGCTCCACAACACCCTGACATCTATGGCAAGCCAATTTAACATGTATTCCTTTAAACTAGCATTTATCTCTAAATTATTAATAAGTAAAACCATAGTGACCTTTTCAGTTTCAATAGTACTATTACTATTAAAAATTGATATTATAGTTTACCAAATCCGACTATCAAATTATCAAAATTTGAATTTAAAAAAATTCTATTTAATCTATCAAAATCTATCAAATTAATCACAAGTATTTATTCATTACTTACTAGTATTTAATCATTTGCTATAAGTCTCTATTCCAATAGTGACAAATAACTATTCAAAAAATATTGCAAATATTTGTCAAAAAGTCATTCAGATGTCAATTATTCACTTCCAACTATTAGGCCTATATTACAGTTCTTGCTGGTAACTATTCCAGTTTTACATTTTAGTAGGTATTAAAACTTATTTATGAGACACTAGCATCGATCCCATATGTGATTCAAATAAAACTTTCATATGTAATATTTAATGACCAATCACAATGGCAGCAAATATAATACATATCTATTTAAATAATTTACTAATTTTAAATAGCCATTTTAAAGTTGAATTAAAAATCTTACAAGTAGCCTATGATTAAAATTTTACTAGTAGCAATTTGAATACACAGCATTTATTAAATAAGTGCATATTTAATTTGTACTAGGAAAACATACGTAACTTTATGAAGTAACTACAGAAAAATAAATAGTTAAATGAAAATATATTCTATTCGCTATTGAATTTTTTAATAGCAATTTAAAAATACTGTACTGTACCACAGGGCCGGACTGGGACGCAATTTCAGGCTGGGAAATCTCACACTCATCCAGGCCACACAGAAAAAGAGGGGCCAAAATTGTACCTTTTGGGGTACAACAGCTCGACACTGTAGTAGTACTCTTAAAAGGACATCTTTGTACCTTTTTTACCTCTAATAGGAACATATTAGTGCCTTAGAGTAGTAATTCGTACCCTTAAGGTACTAATTTGTAGGCCTACCTATTAGGGGTAAAAAAATTAACAAATATGTCCTTTGACGGGTACTGCTCCAGTGACAAGCTGTTGTACTGAAAAAGGTGCGATTTTGGCCCTTTTTTTCTGTATATAGCCTATACATCCACAACAATTTCTGAAACCACAGACAACCCTATTATTTGTATGACCATCACATAAAAAGTTCTAAATCCTTAGTCTGGGGCCGTGGAAAATAATAAAAGGTTCTCTCTTGCACTGCACCTTCAATTCCCTTTCCCATGTCTTCATTTGCCCCAATAGGGCCTTTCGCACCGCAGGAACCTTTTCATAGTACCAGAACTAATTGTGGAACTACTCACTTTTTGGTGTTTTCGCACCGCCGGAACTGGGTGCTTTTTTAGTACCGGACTGCCTTTTTCGAGAACCAAAATATTTAAAACAGTTGAGTACATCAGCATTTTTTTATGAATAGAAACATCCAAAGATCAGCATTTATCTGAAATAAAAAGCTTTTGTAACATTATACATGCACTATACCAAAAGCTTGGAGTCAGTATAATTTTTTTTTGGGGGTATTGGTGATTTAAAAAAATAGTTTTTGCCTATGCATGTTCATTCATGTCTTTTTATTTATTTTTTAAGAAATTGAGTCCCGATGTCCTCTACCAAGGATGTAGCATAACTTATGAAGTATACATTTTTTTATTCATATTTTTTTTAATGCTCTAAATAATGTAATGACATCAAAAAATAAAAACATTTTCCTGCCGGGTCTTAAGAGGTTAAGAGCTTACGTGTTCACACGTAATGTAAAGACTGTTTAATTCATACTGGAAGCCGGAGGGCGCTCTTGCACAGAAACTCCACATATCCATAGCAGAAGAAATACTACTGACCATGCTCCAGGAAGGTATCCAGTTATCGCTGAATAAAACTGATGAAACTTGAGGAAAATAAACATAGGACTGCACAAAATATATGGTTTATCTGTGTTCTTCAATCTTGGGTATTTTTATAAGGAAAGTATATTTATAATGCAATATTAATCGACATGGCCTTTATCACTGTATATAATACTATCATTCTGTAATATGAAACCACGGCTGGTCACAAAAAGAAGTATTTCAAACACTCGACTATGTTATTAAGTTAATTTGGAGAAAAAGCATGTCAATAAATTATATCTTTGTTGGACAACAGTTTTGTAAACAGGCTCATCCACATGCAAAACTGTATCGCACACGTGCTACCTTAGTACATTTATTCAGACCGATTTTTTGTGCACTGTACAGCCCTAACCAAACCAGTTACAGCTCGAGCTCCTCATTTAGCGATATAGGCTACTCCTCCTCAATTTCACGTCCGCTTTCCGTGATGTCGCTCCGCACTGTCGCACACAGAAATATGTCAAAAACTAGACTTATCGTTATTATCGCAGGAAGACTAATTCTTATCGTGGGGAGAATTTTTACCGGTATATCGCAAACGATAAGATATCGCCCATCCCTAGCTGCCAGTCAAGACTAACCGATTTATGATTTATTATCGATTTATTATCGAATGGAAAAATTGGAAATTATCACTTTGGTACATTGAGAAAGCATAAATATAAAATATTAATAATAATAATAATAACTAAAAAAAACAACAACAAAAACAGGGCAGCGGGCCAAATCAGCCTCCAGGCCACCGGGAATTCTCCCTGTGCTCCCGATGGCCAGTCCGGGCCTGCTGTAACGTAAAAATATCAGTTAGTGTAAAGGATAAATGTTAAATCAGCTTGCCACGTGACGTCATGCGTTTGGATCGCTCCACACAGGCCTCTGTCAGCCGCTGCTGGATCCTCCAGGAAAAGTAGGCTACTAAAATGAAACCGACAGAGAACTAAAAAAAGTACTTCAGTAGTGTATTAGGTTAGCCACAAACCTAAAGCGAACAGAGCTTGCTGATAGTGTTTACTTAAGCGTGTGAGTGTTAGAAGAAAAAATCTCGGTTAAATCAGCCGAGGCGGCTTGCAGTATTCGCATCATCTGATAAACAATGTAAACTGGATGTTATGTTGCTCACCGATAAAGTAAACTATATGGGCGACTCGTTGATGTTTTCTTTAATGAGAGTTTATTTATAATTTTTAACAGTTTCATTAATATATACTACTTTGTGGTAAGTGCACGGTGCGTCTGACATAGCATCGACTGAACTTTACAATTGAAACACAGATATACCAGACGCAAGGACGCAGCGCGCTGGTTCATTTCATGAGCTGATTTCATTTTGCAGATGAAAACGAGGCGAGGCGAAGCAGATGCTCGGTAGACTGGGAGTCTGCAGCGTTTTCAAGAGGTACGGGAAATCGTTAATGTCCTATTGTTTCAATATCCCAATAAACACAGGACACACGTTACCATAGATGCGTTGTTGTTATCCTAAACTCCCATGAGCGTGTCGTTCATACGCGGCAGTGTCGCGCTTTTGCCAGTCGATGTAACTTTGCGATGTTACATTGTCTACTGCAGCCGAGAGCTGCAGTAACACTAGCCTATATGTCGCAGATGAATGGGTTTTATAAGATAAACGCATTCTCGTACGGGTGATTCATCGGCCTAACAATCCCCGGCTTTGAGTAGGAGTTTTCACGGATTGCAGTGCAATCCAAGGCGGTGAGGTTGGACATTTCTCTGGTTGCAAACTTGCACGTGTTTGAATGTAGTTCAGTGCAGTGATCAGAGTAAAAGTCACAGGTGAAAAATCAATTTTAAGATGCTATTTTGTTACATGATAGCTAGTCATTATCTGATCCAAGACCAGCAACAAACAAACCAGCAACTAGGTGGTTATATTAAGGTTGTCATGGGGGGCATGATAACTGATCAGCTGGCTAATGACCAGCTACTGTCTTAAAGGGGTCATATGATGCAATTTCAAGTTGTCCTTTCTCTTTGGAGTGTTACAAGCTGATTGTGCATAGATAAGATCCCTGAAGTTGCAAAGACTAAAGTCTCAAAACCAAAGAGATATTCTTTATCAAAGTTAAGACTCTGCCACGCCCCCCTAAAACGGCTCGTTCTAACACGCCCCCACATATCTACCTCACTATGTGGAAATATTAGCATAATGCGCCCAAATGTGCACGCAAAGAAAGAAGGCGTGGTTTCAGTAACCGCAGTTAGTGTTGAAGCAGCATGTCAGGGAGACGCTGTGTGTTTCTAACAGTTTCAAAGGACGTGTTTGTGTTTTAATATTTAAGATTAGAGCCTTTCTTATTGTGTTTACAGCATTTGTTGGCCTCTTATGTTGTTGTGAGGTTTATTTGCTGTGTTTTCATAAGCTTATAATAACAAACACTCCTCAGCACTTGGATACACAGGACATTGTCCAGCGGACACCAGATGGCTCAAATGAGAAGTTGATCATTACACAACATTTCCTATATTATTTTCATGGACAGACTCTGTAGATAAAGGATTGTGGATTAAGTGTTGGGGACAATGGCTATTGTACCAGTGGGAGACTTGAGAGAAGAGCGAATGCATTGCGAGTGCTGTGCACCTGTGGGAATTATATGTATGTGCGAGAGAGAAATGCAATTCAACTAAGGAACACTGGAATTCCCCTTTCGGCTGAGAATGGTTGCCTTTTCCTGCTTTTTAACTTAGCACCTATTGTTATCTTGGAAACCCTGCATTGCCAGTGGAAACACCACAACCTGTTTTGTATAGTTAGAGTTATTGCATTTTTACCAGCTTGGACAGCACTGCTTAGGGCCTTAACTCTTAAGTTTGTGGTCACGTGTTCAGAATGCGCATGTAAAATAAAACGCTTAGAAATTAGAAAAGTTACACAACAGTGACATCACACTTATTCTGTGCTGTCCTTGTAGAAGCCTGGTATGTCAGGCCCCAACTGGCTGCCTCCAGGAGCCCTCGGTAGCACAGATAGAGCAACAACACCAATGTCACACTCTGGCCCCGCTCTCTACAGACCTCCCAAGAAAGGTCTGCCCGACCAGAGACCCAAATATAACATGTATGACCAGAATGGTGGAACGGGAGGAAATGGTATGCCTATAAGATATATGGCTACTGGACCTTCAGGTAAGAGCCCTGTAACCATAAAATTTAAGCCTTTCAGTGCATGTTTATGCATCATGCTTTGAGAAAATTGTTTTATTCTGTTGATACCTGCGAAAAGGATTTTGCTGAAGATTATCCAATAGTTTAGAATTAAATATCTTAGTTATATTACACCAGCCTGCATCATATTTGCTGAATGAAATCCAATTCTTGATTCTTACCAATTTTGAGATGCTGATTCCAAAAACTGTGGCTGTTTTGCTCAAGCATGTCACACTTTCTCACAAAACAACTATTCAACTACTACTTGTATGGTGAAGAAGTCTTGCATTATCGCTTAATCGCCAAAAAAAAAAAATGCCACAAAGACATAATTCCTAACTTCCTGTGAGCCAGGTTACAATTTGTTCAATTCTCAGCCTGTTTTCACATGTACCATGATTCTGAAGACATTAGTTTATGCCTAATCCTGATTTCAAGGTTAGAATTATGGCCAGTGACAGAAGAAAGTGCAGACATGACCCAGATGTTTTCTTCTACCTCTGTGCATGCTTCACTACATCCAAACAGAGATAGAAAATTACTGATTTTGTGGGAGGGTAAAAAAGCTTAATTTGGTTTTGACATTAAATGTATTTTGCAGATTGTTAGTTTAGTATTAAATACTTAAATAATGTTGAATACTTCTTTTTGGCTGCTTTGAAACAATCTGAAAAATCTCCATTTTGAAAAAAAAAAAACTGTAAGTGATGGTACATTTTATTGATATTTTTGGACACCGCATTATCAAAATAGGAAATATTACTCCTCCTTTACAAACCAGCAGAATTTGTTTCAAGATGCAGGGCTGTGTTATTAAATATCATATTAATATCGTATTTGGTTTATATTTTACAATGAAATAACTGAACTGTAGAATCTGGCATTGCATAAATAAACAAACATATGCATTATGCCTTTCCCAAATGGTCCAGTATGTGACATGATTCTTGTTTAACATTTAAAATGGTCAACCTCACAAACACAGTTAATATTTTATATGAACCTCATTATATTCTCTGTTTCATTGAATTTAAACTTAAAGAATGTAATGCTGGAATACTATTTGACAGTTTGTGCTTCGTCATCTGAACTGATGTTTATGTGCTCAGGTGGACCCATGAATCACCAGCATCAAGATGATCGCTCAGGGTCTACTACCTACAACCCCTTGACTCCCCAGTTAAGAGACCGATACTATGCTCCAGGCCAGGGGCCCAAAGAAGACCACCACACATGGAACCCCCGCATGGCCAGCCATGAAGTTCACGTCAGTGACATCCACATGTTCATTTATAATTATCATTTCTCTGCAGGACTGTGTTGCTCAAAACTGGATTGAAAGATGATTCAGTTAGTTCATTATTCCTTAAATGTGCCTAAGGAAAAGGGAAAAAAGGATAGTCTTACCAAAAATGAAAGTCTGTCATCATTTACTTGCCCTCATGTCCTTCCAAACCTGTATGGCTTACTTTCTTCTGCAGAACACAAAAGAAGATACTTTAAAGAATGTTGGTAACCATTCAGTTCTCTTTGGCTTCTAATATACTGTTTGTCCATATAATGGAATTCACTGGGAAGCATAAAGGTTTGGAATGATGTGAGGATGTTTAAATGATGACAGAATTTTCATTTTGGTTGACCTATCCCTTTAAATCTGTATACGTGAATGTATCTTAATGTGAGTTGTTTTTGTGGCTGTCGTTTGCTCAGAATCGGGGATCAGAGAAGCACATCTCTGCTATTGATGCAGAGATAGACTCTCTTACATGCATGCTGGCTGACCTGGACAGTCACCCTCAGAGCACAAGCACACAGGTACAACACACCAATACTGCTTTATACAAGTGCCAGGACAATACAAAGTTCTTTCCGTTCCTGCACTTAAATC